ACCAGTAGGTACTTCGTAAGTACAATGGCATCAATACATATTCCCACTGCAAAAAATATTTCCATGAAATTAAAAAAAAAAACTGCTGACGATGCTAAAAATTCACTTCGCTTTTCCTCGACAAGTACTCGTTAATCAGTGGCATTATAATTAATACTTTTGTTACATTTATTTCAACCCATTTACCCGGGCAGACATGTCTGAAAATTGTTGATTTTCGCACCTAAGTGGAAATCAACTGTGAATAACACATATTGGTTTACAATACATATTTACACTGATATGATATATTAACATAACTGGCATATACATTCACACATGCATAAGTAGGTAATGAGGGCCAATAATGACGCATGAAATCAAAAAAACGCTTATGTTCATAATAAGTAATTGATGGCTAATTGAGAGCTAATTATGTACATAATGAAAAATGAAAAAAATTTCCGCAATTTACCAAAAAAAAAAATTTATTAATTCAGTACAGAGTTTATTATGCGCTGTCTGCAAAAAGGGAAAAAATGATATATCGCTTTTTTATCGATTTTTTTACTGGAAATATATAAATAATATCAAGTTAAGTAAGAAGATTAAAAAAGTCAAAAGAGGTATCTTCAGAACCTCCTGTGAAGGTATACCTGCAGCTGCAAGATTGTACCAAACTTTAGCTAGAGACACAACCGTACCTACGCAAACGATTAGCATACCAAATTTTACCTATACACTTAACGTAGAGGATGTCACTTCTGTTAAACAGGGGATCTAGAAACTATGTAACATACCTTCTACATCACACTGAGTGCTGTCAATAAATATATATGTATGTATGTCCACCCGGCGATTAGTTGGATGGGCGTTAAACTCGTTCAACCGAGACAAATAACCTGCGGTATATTGCATCAGCCCAGTGTTGTTGAAGCAGGGTGGGAACTCATACTGAATTAGTAAGCATTATGATAGGTATGGTGTGGAGGAGTGCGCGGGTAGTTTTCATCTCGAACGTCCGAAGGAGTGACTACTCCTATTACTCCCTACCAAAATCATTCAGCTCCGTAAGTTTAACATCCTTCTCATTTTCATTGTCGGTATTTCCGACAGGGTAGGAATATAACGTTTTGTGGAACGATTTTCCATCATCGCTTGTGTGCCATTTTCAGAGTCATTTTTCGTTCACCAAATGAAATTTGACAAGGGATGACAAGGGATCCTTCTTTATAAAAGAATTGAGAAAGTTATCGATAATAGGCTTGTTCCACACGCTTTCCGGGCTGTTTCAGTAATTAGAGCGTAAAAATAAGTTACTCTCTCACAATTGTCAAGTATGTGTCAATCTGTGCCAAAAGTGTCCAGAGCGTGAGGAACGCAAAAAACCACTTTTCATGCCCGGAATCAACAAATCAGTTCTAAATAATGCTTTTATGTGTATTTGCCTTATGTATAGCTAAAAAAATTAGCAAATACCTACATTTCTGAACCTTTAGTGCTATTTCCCAATTTTGTATTTTACAAAATTTGCTAGCGGATGTAAACAAACAACAGCTGTTATTTCAAATTGACTTCTTGCACACTTCTGCCCGGAAAAAAGTCCGGGCTGTTTCGGGCACGAAGAAGAAGACATTTACGATCCAAAAGTGGCAGGTATTCGCTCTCTATTACCCATTTTTCTAGCGTGAGGAACGCCTTCTGGGCAGTACCCGCGGGTACCCGTCGGCTTGTTTGGAACAAACCTAATGAAATAAGATCTTAACCACTGAAACAGGCCCCTCCGCATTCCAACGACGGATACTGCTATGTACGCACTGTCACCTCTCCCGCGGAGCTTGGTAGGTAGTGTTGTGGCGTGCAAAGGGCACAATAGATCCACCAGATTGCAGTGCATTTTTTTTTACCGACTACCAAACAAGGAGGAGGTTATCAGTTCGTCGGAATATTTTTTATTTTATTTTTATGTATGTACCGCATAACTTTGGACCACGATCAACCGATTTCGATAATTCTTTTTGCATCGGAAAAGTAGTGTCTCAGAGGTGGTCCCATACTAATTTGGTTTAGATCCGAAAATTGGATCATGAGATATATATATATATATATTTTTTTTTTATATGAGAATTGAAGTCGGTTTTTTTTGCTAAAAATTACTTGTTTGCTTATAAATTATTTGCTAAGTTATCTATCTAATACTTTCGAAAAGCAATTGCGGTAGGTACTTTATTTGAAGTTTGTAATAATAAATCTCTTGATCGACTTTGCAATAATTATGCACATACATACATATGTACGTAACTTTAATATATTAATTAATACATAAATACCGCTTATATAAAATGCATACAATTAAATTTGAATTAAATTTCCCATCGTATCGAATACCATACATACCAAGTAATTTTCAAAACCTGTATAAGCATATAGATTTTTATATATTTATATGAATACGCTAACGTATAAACAATTTATTTAACCATGAAAGATCTGGTTAGTATTTAATCCTCCACTAAGTCTAATAAATTATATTGTAAGTCACATTTTTCTGCTGGCAGCCATAGTTAAGCTTGACTTAGAACTAAATTATTCATAAATAATTGATGTTATGGAAATTTTTCAAAATGAGTTGACAAGATCCATTCTTATTCATGTTGGTCAAGGTTTTCTTCAATAAAATGGTTACTTTCAAATACAAGCATGCAAGAATAAACTTTGCTTGAAATAAGAGAATGAGGCCAGGTCCTACCCTACCTGATCTTCACATCGCAGTGGAGAACTTCATTCCTTCCTGGCGCATTTGTAACCATTATCTGCCACAGAATCTTGCGCTTAAATACTTCAAGGCGGAGACGTGAACCGGATGATTTTTTTTTTGTTTTGAAACCAAGTTATAGTATTGCATTGCCATCTGGTTCTGATCTAAGTCTGCAGTTTCAAGTCTCTGGGACAACAGGAAAGTGGGTCGAGAATTGATTGCAAGATTTGACCCAAACAAACATACAGAGCGCGTTAAATAAAAGCTTGCAAAAAAGCCATTTCTCAGTTTTCTCAGGTTGGCGATTTTGAGCGTTTTTTTTTTTAATTTTGAGTTGGTGGTTGCAGAGCAGCATTTAAGAAAATTAAAATTTATTTAAATGCAAATATTTATATGTTCAAAACATCCTTCTGGCACTTTCGAGATCATAGAATCTGTATCTGCAATTTATTTCTACCACTGGGTGCGCTTTCATGCAAAGAACATGGAAGCAACATGAAGGAAAAGTGCAAACATTGTTTCTCAACAATGTTTCTAGATAAAGCTTCTTCATATATTTTTGCACCAAAGCGCACCCAGCGGAAAAAAAAATCCAGGTTCAGATTCCTCGGAACCCGAACCACAAATAAAGCCCTTTTGAATATACATACATATAAATATTTGAATTTAAATCAATTTTAATTGTTTTAAATGCTGCTGAGCGACCATCAACTCAAAATTCAAAACAAAACACTTAAAATATTCAACATGAGAAGACTGAGAAATTACTTTCAGAAAAAATTGGTTTCATCGAATCCCCAGTCCACTGCTAAACAGTTTGGTCGAAACGAATATTAAATCTTAAAAAAAGGTTGTTCGGTTTTCGTTTCGGATCAAGCATTCGTAAAATCTTCAGGTCGCTTAATGGGTTCAGTTAATTAACTTCTCACTTGCCTTTCCAATTTCAAAATTATAACTGTCAACCGAGAGGCACTCGTTCACATCCAGGTCCAATCACTAGGCATAGATTCACAACTTGAAAAAAGGATGAGCAGCCGCAGTCTCTTTGAATCACAGGGCCTTGGTGGCCAATTGGCGTGGCTTCTTTGTAAAAAAAATCGACCACGAAATGCAATCTCCAAGTGAAACGAGTTTTCTAGATATACATATGTAGCTTGAGCCACCAATCTGCTATAATTACACACATACGCCCCATATACAAGTATCTATGACATCCAATAGGTGAACGAAATAATTTTTGATCATAACTCAATAACTTCTCAACCAAATTTTAAATGCTCTATCTGTTGTAATAGCCTAAGTACGTAAACCTAGTCTTCAAAGCGTTTTTTTAAAAGATCATCAATTGCATAATATTGCACCATTTTTAGGCACATTTAACCCTTCGAGGGGATATGTTGCGTATAGGCAACATTGGCATTTTCATTTATAAATCTAGTCTTTTGAATTTTTTCCTAACGGTTTTGTATCAAATGATACTCTAGAATGTTGTCAAAGCTAAAAGCTGAGCCACAAGTCATAATTATGGAAGCAATTGGTTTTCAGCAGTTTCGTTGTGACTACTTGTGCGCAGCATAAATGTTGCTAAAAGTGGTTCTGCAACATTTAAAAAAAAAATACACATATTAAATTATATTTTTGTTAAACTAAAGAGTTTATATTTAAAAATATAATAAAGGAAATTAAATAAAAACATCAAAGCTTAAAATATATTTGTGGTTTTTGTTAAAAAATTTTATAAACATTTATAAGCAACAATTTATAACGGTTAAACCAAAATCTTAGACGTTAAAATTTTTTACCTGTTCATATTTGAGGATTCAAAAAAGTTCTAGCCCCATTTTAATTCGGTTCTCAAAGGGTTAAAACACACCGCACAATCAAGTTTTCAAATTTTATTAACCACATCAGTTAATAGTAAAAAATACAAGCATGCAAAAGTCTAAATTTTGTTTAATCATTTCATCTAGCCTCCCTCATTAAGGATTGGCTTTTCATAAAAAAAAAATAATAAAAGAGAACTTCCGCCTTTCGTTGACAGCTTTGTAATGCATCGGTGCTTCACTTTCCGTTTATAATGCCGTCGATTAAACTCTCTGAAAACAATTATTCCCTGCCAATAGCATGTCAGTAAATGTCATTGCATGTCCATTAGAAATTTGGTTCCATATTTAAAATTTGTTTAAATGCGATCACGCGTACGGTTAACACAATTAACACAATTGCAATTACATAGCTAGAATGGCACGCAAGACGAACGCCAATTTATCCTTACCCAAGCGACATTTTCAAACATAAGCGAAACACGAAATCAAATCTTTTTAGCGCGAAACTAATCGCAGGAGACTGCGTGCCTTGACCAGTGAAAAAGGAAAACATTCGCACAATGTAACATTCTTTATAAACAGCGATTAAAATAACAAGACGGTTTACTCTGCCATCGAGGAGTAAAGGCGAAATATGAAATATGGTAAATTGCAATGTGTGTACATTAGGATGGTCCTTAACTGTAGGGAACAAATTTTTACATCAGATTTCCTTATCCTCAACCCCTTCGTCGATGCTACTATGGTCGAAGACATCACATATAAATTTTGGTCCCGATTGGAGACAGTTAAGGCGTGTCGCACAGGGGTCAATGTTCAGATTACCCTATGACGACGTCTTAATCGACTTCAATCAGAACTAAAATTTTATATGTGATATCCTCGACTTAAGTAGCGATTTTGGGCATTAAATGAAAAAACATATTTGTAATTTTGTTGTCCTTTGCGACACGCCTTAACCGTACCAATATCACTATGGCTCTGGAACCCAAATGAGCATTTTATCGAAACAAGGCAATGATTTGATGTATCCTTCCATTTAACTTCGATCCATCCGTAAATAATTTCACTTGACTCTGACTTCGAAGATTGAACTTCATACAATATTCCCTTTAAGGAATATGAGTGTTGAAAGATTCGAGTACGAGTGGTGCTAAGGGCCTACTGATTCCAAGAAGGTCAGTTGTTTGACTACTCTCCAACTGCTTAAACAGAGCCAATCAACCACCTTCGGTTAAAGGCCCCTTATAACCGAATAAAGCTACCGAAATATTATTTTCCCTTTCTTATCTATTTTACTAGTGGCCGCTGTGGTTTAGTGGTTAGCAGTGCGCACTATGACACCGCAGGGCCTGGGTTCAATGCCCTGGTCAAAGCAACCATCGCAAAAAACTTTGCTTTCTTTACAGTGGTCGCCCCTCGGCTGGCAATGACAAACCTCTGCCATGAAAAAGAGCTTCTCATAAAAATACAAACGCCGTTTGGAGTCGACGAAAAACAGTAAATCTTCAGAAGAGAAGCTCGGCCAAAGACTATAATTATTTTTATTATCTGATTTACTTTCAGCATGGCTTGCTGTTTGGGATTAAGCGCAAGGTAATAGGGATTTTATATTTCCTTATGAAAGGGCTAAGCTCCGTTTTGCAGGGGCTAAAACCTGCCTAGTGTATAACTAACAGTCCAGTTTGCTACCAACTTTAGATACATTTGCTTAAATTCTTACTGGGTACCTAAGAATTTTCCCCTAACATTATGATATAATGACCTAACAAAGCAACCATTGGACAGCTCGAACTTTTCGGAGACTCTACTAGGTCGTTGATGGCCCAAAAAATAGAGGCACAATGACTCCCTTTTGTGGGATACCTCTACTCACTATTCTCTGTATTTCGAAGCCCAGTTTGTCAAGTGAGTCTCCGTATCAAAGAATACACCTGCTACGAAACCTTTGCAATCGAGTGTACAGCTGATCCTACTGATCTCTCGTTGCAGTAAGTTTGCTCTCTAGCAAACGCTCGCTTGGAATTCCTTGTCTAATAGGCAGATCAATTAATCACTCGAAAGTGTTTAAAGGAACTAATGAGAGAGACTGATTGGACTGAAATCCTAAAGAGATATACATATGAGAGACAGTCACAAAATTTAATCCACGTGCTAATATGTATATGTATGTATATTTTTAAGGTATGGCTTCTGAGACCCAACTAACGGAATTGAAATTGAAAGGCCGAAAATCCGAAAATACGTCATTATATGTACGGACATGTGTTTAAGACCGTTTGCATTGATGATCACGATTGTAGACACAGCGTGAGTTTCTTCTTTTCCTTCTAACTAATACTCTCCATAAATAATGAAGAGTCTCTGTCTTGCGAGTAATTGAGCAAAACATCTCCCGAATTTCGGAATATTTTTAGATGATAAATTCGTAAATTTCAATTAGCCACATCATTGAAATATTTTACGCAAACAATCGCACAGATTTGTGAAATAAATGTAGTTCATTGTTAATAATTCAGCAAAATGCTAAATGAAGTGAGTGCGTTGCTATTTTTAGCGAATTGAGGACATAATCTAGTATGTACATTGATTTTTACGGTGTCGTGTTTAGTTACATATATTTGTATCATAAGTTTGTTTGCGCATTTATGAGAAAAGCACACACATGATGCGAATAACTCCATTAAACGCCAGTAGACGTCTGCAAGCGCAATAAATTAACACTTTCGAAATTTCAACTGTCTGTATGTATGTCTCTTAGTTTTTCAGATGACGTTTGCGAAAGATTTTGCCTACTATGGTGCCATGGGTGAGTAAAAAATACCATTGTATGATCGTATATGTAATGTGATTTATTGGATAAATAAATTCTTCAACCTTCAATAGGACCCGATCACTGGGGTGAGCAGTACAGTACGTGCAGTGGCAAACATCAAAGTCCAATCAACATCGATTCGCTTAATGTGATTCGGCGCACATTCCCGCAACCACTCAAATTCCAATGGTTTCAGCTAACGCCCAAAAATGCTGAAATCCTAAATAACGGCCACACTGTGGTGGTGCGCCTTGAATACAAAGACGAACGTCCAACCATATCTGGTGGTCCACTTGATGGTTCGTTCGCTTTCGAGCAACTGCACTTTCACTGGGGCGATAATGATACGGTCGGTAGCGAGGATCGCATAAATAATGTATCATTCCCCGCAGAGTTGCATATGGTTTTTAGAAATACAAAGTATCAAACATTTGGCGAAGCGGCAAAGCATAGTAATGGTGTGGCAGTTTTGGCATATTTTTACAAAGTAAGTAATTAGTATTGCATGGGTAATCGAAAAAAGGAGCAATCGTTACGTTTATTATTCTTATTGCAGATAATAGCAGATGATAACTCGGATTATGCTGAATTCACTGAGCTGCTACAGCATGTCATCAAACCAAATTCGGTAGCCAAGTTCGTCGATCCGCCAAATCTATGGGATTTCGTAAATGTCTATATGGAGTATTATACCTATGTAGGATCGTTAACCACGCCGCCTTGCAGTGAGGATGTGACTTGGATTGATTTTAAGGAACCAGTTGGCATATCAACCAAACAGGTTAGTTAGTATTTGGCGAGTAATTAATCGACGGATATGCTTTGTGCTTAGTTAGATGAAAAATAAGTCCTAGTAGAGACTAAGAAGATTTTGATGCAATGTAGCAATAAAAAGGTCAATTAAAAAGAGCGTACGGTGTTGTCCTCTTCTCCTTCGGGATTGTAACCGGCTCAGCGCTTCTGGCCGAGTTCAACAAAGCACGCCAGTCGTTTCTCTGCTGTGCCAACTGACTCCAATTGAAAATGCCTATTCCAAGTGCTTTTCCGTCTGATATTTGGAGGCCTTCCTCTTCCACTGTTACCAGCATCGCGATCCAACATTATATGCTTTCAGAACTGGGACGTTTCTGCCCTTTCGTACGGCATGGCCAAGCTAGCGGAGCCGCTTTATTTTAACTCGCCGCACTGTGTTCATATCGTTAGACAGTTCGTACAGCTCATCGTTTCTTAGTCTGCGGTATTTGCTATCGCCAACGCGCAGAATATTTCGCTACAAAACTCCAAAAGCCGGCTCATCGGATGTTTGCATTGTCCATGCTTCCACGTCATACACCAGCACGAGCATGACGAATGACTTATAGCGTGTGATTTTTGTACTTATGCAAAGTAGCACTTGCTGTCAAGGACGACGCTGCGTCGGACTTCGAGCAAGTTTGCTATCTTTAAGCCGCGAACTTGTTATTTAGGCCCCGCTTTTCCTATCGACTAGCATCTCAAGCTCTTTGTACTCACATGTTTCGGCGGCCCCTCTCAAAGCTCACAACGTGGCATACCTCCTCGTACCAATTGTTTTTTTCGAGTTCGCTGAAATCAAAATACCTAATCAGTTAGGTGCGCTTAAATGAGACCTTAAGACTTTTCATCCCTTTATTTCTTCATAGCATAGGCGCAAATGATCGATATGTTAACGTATCTCGGTTAGAGCTGGCGCGCTGCTCATCCGCCGAAGATGAATGACGATACTTGGCAATAAAATCTCTCTCTCTCACCACAAATTTAAAAGCAAGTTTTCAGCTCTTTACATGTCAGCAGTAGTAGGCGTCGCCAGCTCCTTTAATTATCCTACTTTTCCCAGTCCGACGTAGTTCCTAGAAAATGGTAATCTTAGACTTAGTCTTACCCAGAACCAGAGCCAGCCGCGCAGAAAATATGGCTCATTTATGTAAGCCACATTGTCTCAGTTTGTTCGAATATTTATTGCAACTCTGTTTATTTTTTATTACTATATCTGCATCTTTGTTTTAATTTTTCGCTTATTCTCTAATCTTCCCACACACTCTTACCATCTCTAGATTGAGCATTTTCGACGTCTGCACTCGCACGAAAACACGCCATTGACTCACAATTTCCGTCCACTGCAGCCGCTTAATGATCGCACCGTCTTCTACTCGCTTCCAGTACCGGACCTCGATGATCCCGCCATGGATGCAAATAGTGCAATACCCTTTGTTGATAATTTGGCTGGTGGCGCATCCATGCGGAAGCCTATTGAAATCAATTTCATGGTCATAATGCTGATATTAATTAGTTTAATAACAACAACAAAGGCAGCGGCATGTTTAGCTTAAGTAAGCAAAGAAAATACTTAGTTAGATATTGTAATATGAAGTGGCTTGTATTGCCTATTAATTTCATGGTTATTATGTACTTGTCCATTTGGTCGATTTTTATGGCCTATATGTAAGCCATATGTATGTATGTGCATATGTGCGTATATTAGAGAACGCGTACCACGCGTAAAAACATAATTTAATACAACGCCATCGAATTGTTAATTAATACTATCTATAATATCTGTAATTAATTGTATTTGAAAGGTAATTTTCCCAAATTAGATTTACACACATAATTATAGTAAATATGTATAAGCATTATGGTGTTTAACCAAATTATAATTAAGTTATTTTTTTCACATAAAGAGATATGTATGCAAGTACGTGTAAAGAATGAATTTTATTATAAAAGTAATAGTATTGTGATTTATAATAAAAGAAATACAAATACATAAAAATAACAGCTGTAAGCCCTTCGGAAAGGGTATACGTAATTTCTATTAGATTTTCAATAGCCAAAATAAAGCTGGTATGTACATTAGAGTGCCTCACCGAAAAAAGTTGCACGAACATTCCACGAAAATAGGTGTTTATGATATATGTATATCACTG